GCGTCTTATCACTGAATCATTCGCGAGTTAGGGGTCCCTTACGTTCAATTCACGTTGAAATAATTACACAGAGCAGTAAGGTGTCCAACACGAGCCATTTTTTTCACCTTCAGCTGCCGATGTGCGACGTTGCCATTTTTTGAAGTGAAAACTCTTAAAAATGCATAACTCCGCTGCATTTCAACCAATTTCAATGAACTTTTTTTTGAAATGTTCCTCTTAATTAGAGCTCTCTAATGGTATTTAGGTTTCTGGATTTTATTTACCTTAGGGAGGCACTTAGGTCGTTGATATGGTTCTGTGCAGAGATTTTTCATACAAAAAATAGTGTCGCTATTTATATGTACATTTTTATTTTTATTTACTTTTTTTTCGGAAGTGGGTCTGGTTTTTTTAACATTCAAACTTGATCGGATGATCACCATCGCTTAAAGTATAATGCAAAAATCTTAGTAAAAGAGCAACACCACCCACGCTTGTACAACAGGAGCGTCGCTTTCAATATTTGTACCTTGTAAGAATAGCGGTTAAAAGAATCCCTTTATTAAAAGTTCTTTGTTTTGAATTCTGTCATTTCAAACCCTCCCACAACCCTCGGAAATCAAAAAATAAAAATACAAATAAATAAATAGCGACACTATTTTTTGTATGAAAAATCTCTGCACAGAACCATATCAACGACCTAAGTGCCTCCCTAAGGTAAATAAAATCCAGAAACCTAAATACCATTACCCTGCATTTAACTCATTGTATCTATGTCAATTTTCTTAAGACACATTTTTCTTTATATTTCTAGGCTCTTTACACCACCTCTGTTTAAAATTCATTTTATCAGTTTCATCTTAGCTTTTGTCTAACCACTGCAACTAAAAGACACCCATTTTCTACTATTACTTTCTTCTCAATTTAGTGCTTCAACAACTTTGCGCTTCCAGTGTCTATATGTAAATGTAAATTTGCAGTTTAAAATTAAACAGTAAGCCTTAAAATATGTGTCTTGAATTAGGTATAGGTAAATTAAGGTAAATAATAAAAAGACATTTTGTCTTTACAACATATATTTAACTTTATATAATAATCACAATGTGTATATAGTGCCCCACTGTATATTACCCTCCTCATACCCCAATCTTGGGGATACCTTATCTTAATAACACTAGAAATAAGTCTCTCAGTTAGTCTTAAGTCTAGTTTTAATCATATTGTAAATATTCTAATTACTGAATAAGTAGGTGAATGTTTTTAAAAAAAAAAAAAAAAAAAAAAAAAAAAAAAAAAAAAAAAAAAAAAAAATACCATTAGAAAGCTCTAATTAAGAGGAACATTTCAAAAAAAAGTTCATTGAAATTGGTTGAAATGCAGCGGAGTTATGCATTTTTAAGAGTTTTCACTTCAAAAAATGGCAACGTCGCACATCGGCAGCTGAAGGTGAAAAAAATGGCTCGTGTTGGACACCTTACTGCTCTGTGTAATTATTTCAACGTGAATTGAACGTAAGGGACCCCTAACTCGCGAATGATTCAGTGATAAGACGCATTCACAATGCGCAAAAGCGCGTGTGACCAACTTTGAGCGGTCATATCTCGGAAACTAAACGTTTCCCCGGGATGATCTTGTGCTCGTTAGAAAGGTGAGAATCTGAACTTTTGTTTAGACTGGTTTTTGTTTAGATTCCGTCGATTCCACGATCGTGGTAAAATAAAAACTAAATTTTTGTGTCTATCAAAAACTGCTGAAACCGCGTAAGTGCCACTTAAAGCCGAGTAAACCCCTGAAAACTGTATATCACTAGAAAGCTCTATTTAAGAGGAACATTTTAAAAAAAAGTTCATTGAAATCGCACTAAGATGACCTAATTTTTCATGCCATTGACTGGTATTGGCCTTTTCTGCACTGTATGACGCACCACTTGCCTTCAAAGCTGAATTTCGCACCACGTAAATGCCATTTTCAGATCGATATCCGCACAGTATTTCGACTCCATTCTTTGTAATTGACACTTTTTCCTTAGAAGAAATAACTTGACCGCCTTGATCGCAAATCGCACCGACGGATAGAAGATTTTTTCGAAGTTCCGGCGCGTAGAGTACATTATTGAAAAAACATTCCTCAAATTCGACACTCCCGCACCTTTCAGCTCTTATTGAGCTTCCAGCTTTTGCCACTGAAATTTCGGTGTCATCTTCTTCCCAGTCCTGCAGAATGGATTTGTCCACAGTGAGATGGGTGGTCGTCCCTGAATCAACCACCCACTCCTTTTTATTATCCGCTACAGCAGCCAGGGCAGCCATAGCGAAGAAACTGACTTTAGCATTTGATGATCCCTGAGTTTCCTCTGAGAATCGGACTTAAGGTACCTGTGACGATCCCTGTGTTCCCTCTTTGCGGTTCTGCTTCTTTTTATAGCACATTGCATCCGTGTGATTATTCATCCTACACGTTGAACACCACATTTTTGAGCCATTCCTCATGTCATTATCTGGTTTAGGCGCTCTACATTCCTTAATATGATGTCCGAATTTTCTGCACCGGTTACATCTTCCCTTCTTTTTATGGCTGGCCTCAAATGCAACGCCAGGTTCTTGTTTCTTGGCGCCGCGTTCATCCTCAGAAAATAATCTGAGTTTTAGGTTTGCCAATATACGCTCACTTTTAGGGGTTGATTCCCATGCAGTTTTAAAAAAATTCATTTTATCTGGTAATGTTGCCAGAATCTTGCCCATTAGCATAGAATCATCCCGATCCATTGTGGAGTCCAGTGCCTTTAATCTCACATGAATTTCTTCAAGTTTCCCAATATGATTAGTCATGGACATACCTTTTTCATAGTTAGCGCTGAAAAATTCCTGAAGTACCTCAGCTTTATTCTCTTCCTTTGGTTTTTCATAAAGGCTTTTGAGTTTGGTCCACATGTCCGCTGCTGTTTCACACGTCATAATGTGCACTTGATGATTTGGTTCCAAAGAGGCTGAGATGACTCGCTGTGCAATGCCATTCCGTTTCATCCATTCAAGAATTTTCTTGGCCCTTTCAGGTTGCGTGTCGTCTACCCTCGGCTTTGGTTTAGTTCTTTCTGTGATTTCCAAGGCCGCATATGACTTGAGATGCTTTTTGACTTGAAACTTCCATAACTCTAAATTTCCACGGTTTTTCAACTTTTCTTTTGGGGCTTCAATCGTGGTCTCCATTTTGCCCATGATTCGGAAGAAAATCCTCAACTTTTATTTACCGAACCCGAAGAGAAATTATTCACGTAAGGGACACGAATGGTTTATGTACTTAAGTACAACACTGGTAATTTACTTTCCGTCGAAGAGGAAAAAAAACAGTTTATGCATGTGCGGATACAACATTAATTTATTCTCCTTCTAAGTGGAAAAAAAAAGAGAAAACCGGTTCATGTATGCGCGGATACAAAGTTGATCGATTTACACGGCTCGTCGAACATTTTCTATCTCGCGGCGAAGCTTTTTGCACCTTCCAAGTACATAGCACAATAGCAGTGCCATTATTAATCCGAAAACCAACGCGTCTAGAATCATGTTGTGAATATCTAGATCACTGGTGATAGTGATTTGGTTATCGTTATCGAACCAACTCATGATGATAAAAGATTGACAAAGATTCACTAGGAAGGAAAAAAACTTTTTCTTGACGTTCACTCAAGAAAACTGCAACGCCACTCCGCGACGAAACTTTAACTTTCATCGACCGTTTTTACCGTCTCATTTCTTTCTCGTATTTAGCATTTCCGATGTTTTGAATTACGAAACCGCTTGACTAACACGAATTTCGAAAACATACTGGGCCGTATAACCTGTTGAGGCTGTGGAATTCGGGGAAACGAAAAAGACTATTTTTGAATTACATTAGAATGTATTATGAGAAATGAGTACATGCTGGCGAGAGAGACCTTACGCAACAACTAACTCCTCTAAGCGCGTCGGATGCGCATCACCCAAGAAAATGATTACTCTGCATCAGCTTTGCTGTGCAGCGTTGCACTGTTTATGAAAATTAGCCATATCTCAACAAAAACACGTAGACTGTTGTGAAAAACTTCGTTCGAAAATTGATAATCAACCAGATTTTCTTGATTTTGTTCTTCTCTCCGATGAGGCAACTTTTTATCTTAACGGTGTCGTAAAGAAGTATAATGAAAGATTATGAACGGATGAAAATCCGCGGCGGTATCATGAAATTCATACCCCCTAAAGGTTAAAGTATGGTGCGGCATGTTCTGTGGGCACACAATCGGGCCTTTTTCTATCCAATTTAAATGGCAAATCTTATCTTGCACTCCCTAAAATTCTCTCGGTCCATGCGTAGGGTTTGTGAAGATCGGGAAATAAGGAATTCAACATGGTTAGTAAAACCGTGTCAAACATGAAATTCTGAAGAGCACCATGATCACCTGGGAAACTTTGGGGTTTTTTATGAATCACCATAGGCACAAATTTGAAATTCTGACTGCCGATGGTTTTAGTACTTTTCTGTCCTTAAATACTGGGAATTCGGAATACCCTTCGTATTTTAAGCATCAAAGTTATCTCAAAATCCATTTGGTGTTTCAAATTTCACCGCCTTTCTGAGGGTTGTAGAAAAGTATCATGAAGGTTGATTGTTGAAAGAGATAGCCAATTTATTTCTCAGGAACTTGAGATGTTACGAATTAGCATCATTAACAATATGAGGTGAAAGAGTGCAATTTCTTAATGCTCCGCCTACCTTGGCCCCTTAAGGAGCAACCAATTGAGACGCTCCTCTAATCAAGTGCCTCAATTTTGTAGCAAGTATCTCAAAAGATTTTTTGTTATTATTATTGGATGGAAAAGTGAATGTACATATAATAGCTGAAAGCGTCGAGAACCATTGCCTTAATGTACGCCCGAGCTTGTGAAAGTCATCGTGATGTACTTTTCTTGCAGTGCTATTTTAAATTAGGGTGTACAATTTGAATGAAATCTTAATTGCCCTATTTCATTTTCGTCTGTTTTAAGATCAAAGAAATCATTCGCCAAGGTGTAGAGGTGCCAGAAGGTCAAAATGACTTGCGGAGAATGCAACTGAGAGAATTAGCTCTTTTGAATGGTACTTTGCGAGAAAATGATGGTCCTCGATGTTCCAATTGTGGTGCCTCAGATCATAAGTCTTGGCTGGTAAGTATTTTTTTAGTTTTCCTTTCACTCAAGTTTACTCTCTTTACTTTGGATATATTTTATCTATTCTTGCTTTCTGTTTCAATATTTTTCCATTAGAACATCCAAAATATCTGTACACTGAAAAAAAAGGCTTTTTAAACTTAAGTAAACGCGTTGACTTTGATTTTATACTAATTCCAGGGCGGGTCCGCCTTGGAAGAAGGCACTGGGTTTCTCAATGTTAGCACTCAGAATTCTCTTGGAACAAGAAAATCAACGGCATTAATAAGCGATGGTGTACTTGAATGAAGAAACCTGTTTCTTAAAATTAGTAAAGGGGGACAACGCCTTCAGAGCACTGTCGTTTCCTTTTTTCAACTCCCCAGCTTGCTTGAAAGAGGAGAGCTTGTTGTGTCAAAAGAATAAATCGGTCTCTAAAAAGTAGTAAACGGGGCGAACGCCTTCTGAGAACGTCTGTTGCCTCTTTTCAGGTCATCAGGTTGCTTGATCAAGTAAAATACTGTGTGCCAAAAGGAGGAACCTGTATCCTTAAAATTGGTAAATGGGTCGAGCCTTTCCAAGGGGGAAAAACCAGTCAGCAATACGCTCGTTGTCTTATTCCAAGTAACAGCTCACTGGATGACAGAAAACACGTTTTGTCACATGTTTCATCGAAGACGAAACCAGGTTCCTTAACATTAGTAAATGGGATGAATCCTTTCCGGGGGAATGGACGCAGTTGGTCATACGCTGTTGCCTGCTTTTAAGACAACAGTTTGCTGGGAAGAAGGAACTAGTTTCCTTAAAATTAGTAAATGGGATGGTTATGCCCCCTGAGAGGATGATGCATACAATTGTTGCCAGATGCCGTTAGCATCTGCTTAAACCAACAAATTGTATGAAGGAAAAAAGGAATCCATGTATCAAAATTATTGTGAACAAAAAATATGGTTCCTCTGAGGGAAAGGGTGCAAAGATGCGAGGATTAAAATATTTTGATCAGAACAGGGATTGGGAGTTCATTTGATATGTCCTATCAGAAATCACTCATATGCTCGGCGTCAACAAAAAATAAAATAAATAAAGAAGTAAAGAAGAAGAAGAGGAAAATATTTAAGTTGTTTTAAACAGACCGGCACTGTGCATCCGAAGTTTTGATTTTTATTTTTAAATGAAAGGGTCCTCATAAAGAGGACTTTAATACTTAAGTAGGTGAAAACTGGGAGTTTATTGCATTGCAACAGTTCCGTTTCATTTGACAATGTATTTCTTCACATTAAACAATCACATTTTTTTTTTTATTTTCTTCCTTACTTTTCCGGTTGTGATGAGTGAAAGAGCTCTCGCAGATAGAATTCAAAAGAGTGAAATAAAATTCATGGTTGTGGTAAGGGCGGAGGAAGAAATTAATAAATGTGGAGACAATCATACTTTTCAGCATGTTACCCACCGAGTTGACAGATGAAGAGAATCGAATAACTCCGCTGTTACCTAGTGTATTCACCATTCAATATCAATTTTCCGGGTCTCTTTGATTTATGAAGGTGACGATGGAGTGGATTGAAAAAAAAAAATGTATTCGCTATTTTCGAAAGGAATCTGCAATTGCAAAATCGTTGATGTTTGAAACTTTGCTCATTTGCGTCGGGGAAAATTTTGGGTCAAAGAGCCTGATGGGACCCATCTTTCGTCCCCCCCCCGCGCGCTCTACGACACCTAACCTCCACTGCTCTCTGTCGAACCACAAACCTTGGGTTATTGAGCAGCCTAACAGTTCTGTTTCAATCCCCTCCCTCCAACCTCTCATTGGCCGCCCTCTGTGCCCTCTCCCAAAAGCAACCCAATCAAGCACCTTCTTCGGCAACCTGTCTCCTGCCATGCTCTGAACATAACCATACCAAATGAGTTGTCTCCTCATAATGTCATGCATGATGGTCTGTTTGGCATCCATGATCTCCGATGATCTTTTTGTGATTGTACGTCTTAAAATTACTTTAACTTATCATGTTAAGAGAATGTAAAAAAAGGTAGCCCTGCCATCATCTGAAAATCTTGAATTCCAAGAAATGATGTACGCTCTTTGTATGCGCTGAATATTATGAAGACGGAATTTTGGGGGTTTATCGAGTGGATTCATACCTTTTTAACGAGTACATCCGTATTGGCATCGTTTATAAAATTGTTGTAGTAAACCGTAGCTAAGTTGAAGTGAAATTTAGTGTTGATTGTTAAATTTTTATTTTTAATAACAGGTATCAGTAATAGGCAGGGCCGGATTTACCTATTAGTGGGGCGGATTGGCATAACAATCGTGCATTTCCGGATAAAAGCATGAAACTTTCAGGAAGTCTTCTACACCGATGAAGAAACGAATTTAGCCTGGGTGCCCAGTTCTATGGGGTCCCAGGGGGGCGGGGGGACCCTAAAATCATACCCCCGCGCATTTCCCAACCCGACGGTCCTCTTTGGTTACTACGTGCTACCTCCAACTAAATACGAATTTTTCGAGAGAGTGAATGATTCTGGGGCAGAAACCAAAACCAGGTACCTGTTCAGTGTTCCTGTTAACTACGAAACTAACAGAAATTTTGACCCTTAAAGTCTATAGGGTCAGGTCATTTAAAAGATGGAACACAATAAATTAATGGTTCTCTGATGTAATTTTGCAGAAGCAAATTCTGGTGGGACAAAAATAGGTATTTCATTTGCACATTTCATTTCTGAACTTTCCACGCAATTTTCAATTTTTTGCAGAGTTTGGAAAAAAACCCAAAATTTGGCGCCTCTTAAAATCTGCACCGATGCACCATATAGTGGGGCGGATTAGCAAGAAATACCCCTAGAATCGTGCATTTCCGGATAAAAGCATGAAACTTTCAGGAAGTCTTCTACACCGATGAAGAAACGAATTTAGCCTGGGTGCCCAGTTCTATGGGGTCCCAGGGGGGCAGGGGGGCGGGGGGACCCTAAAATCATAAAATTCAGGTTTTTCTGTGAGAATTTTTGTACACAAGGGCATAAAACTGATTGAGTTTGCGGAATTGACCAGTTCAAGGCCACCTCAATACATACTGGAACGATTTCACCCACTAATCGCCCAATTTTGACCAAAAGGGTGCTTGGAGGGGAGGGGGG